TCTAAGGTATCCTGTAAGGGTCCTTGCAGGTCGACCCCTTTGGGCCCTGTCATAGACACTACGCCGTCATCTGCAAGTTGTCTCAACGTGCAGTTGTCACTAAGACAATTGTCAATTTCTCTGACGTAGAAATTATACAAAAGGGGGCTTAAACATGAGCCCTGGGGGAGACCCATGTAACTATCGAGAAGCTGTAGAGTTTCCATGAGAAAAGCTCATATGTTTCTCTGACAGCAAATTTTACAAAAAGTTATTTATTAATGGAGAAAGGCCACAAGCGTGGAGTTTGTCTGAAAGGACTTCAATCGATACTGAATCAAAAGCCCCCTTGATATCCAAGAACACAGAAGCCATTTGCTCTTTTTTAGCAAAAGCCAACTGAATTTCTGTGGAAAGCAACGCGAGACAGTCGTTCGTTCCATTGCCCCTACGGAAACCAAATTGAGTATCTGAGAGTAGGTGGTTCGTCTCAACCCATTTGTCCAAGCGAAAAAGAATCATTTTCTCCAACAATTTTCGAATGCACGATAACATCGCGATGGGACGATACGAGTTATGATCTGAAGCCGGTTTTCCAGGCTTTTTAATGACTATAACTCTCACTTGCCTCCAATCATCCGGAACAATATTGAGCTCTAGCAACTGACAAAACAAGTTCAACATGCGCCTCTTAGCGACGTCTGGGAGGTTCTTCAACAAGTTGAACTTGATTCTATCAGCCCCTGGAGCCGAATTGCCACACGAAAGGAGTGCGAGTGAGAGCTCCAGCATTGAACCAGCTTGACCCGTTTTTCTCATTTCCTTTACTGCTCGATTTGTTTCAATCTGATTATCACGGGAGTAGATATACTTCTTTATTAATAATCCACAATATTACGACGCAAAATATTTCAAAAGGCCAGCTCAAGGACATAAACAAATTTGTTCGTCTAATAAAAATCAGGGTTCTTTGTGAACAAAGAACTATAGCTTGCCTCACTTTTAGTGGAATGTTCAATTCATCAAGACGTGTTTTGGAAAATTTGAAATAATAGAAGAAGTGAGTTCTAGTGATAATTTGTATAAAAGATTTGTGGCAAAGCAGTTTGAAATAAGTAAAATCTATTGAAGTTGTGAAAGTGTAAATATTCATTAGTTTAAATCTTATTTTGTAAATAGTTTATGATCACCTTTAGAACTCGAATTATGAGATCGCCATAACTACACAATAATTATGTAATGCCATGAAATTAGCACTTTTAATGTTCATTGTAACCTGTTGAATTTTATTTGAATTTTATAGTACGCTAAAGTTAGTTTAGTAATACTGGCCGAAAGTGGCGAACTGTAAACTAAACCTAGTGAAAAGCACAGGTAAGAATGCACATTGTAAAACCTGCGTCAGTACGTTAAGGCAACATATTTTCACGTCAATAGGAAACCCATTAACGTGGATGTCGGTGTCGGTGTCGGTGTCGGCGTCTGGTTTGACGTCGGTGTTGGGAAAAGTGGAACCTTCTTTAACCGACTCTTGTTGGACGAGTCGACACGAGAAGATCTTTCCGTGTACGGTGGGCAGCATACGTATCGAGAAGCCAGCACGTTAGTGGCTGAAACACGAACATTCCACGCTCGACCGGAGACAACTCTACTCCTGGAATTCGCCTACCACCCACTTCCCTCCCCCCGGAAAATTCCTAGCTCGAATTAGTCAGCTAAGCAGAGTAATTCGAAGCTAGTCGAGACACTTACCATCCATCCTCGCTAAAGCGTTACGCTGTTGAGCTTCGAACACGTTTAAGGTTCAAGCCTCGGAAAGCGGAACAACGGGAACATCGTTACATGCAGGTACTCGACGGACGCAATAAGAATGGTAACGTTACCACACAGGTTAGTGCACACCTGGTGTTAGGGGAAGAATTGTCCACCCTGAAAAAATAATGAGCTCGAAGATAAATAGATCTAACATTTTTAAGCTAAAATTCGCTAGGACTTAATTCTTTATAGGTCGTATTAAATCTTTTCTTTATCATGAAAGGTATTGTTTTTACTTTCCACTAAGGGTAACTCAAGTAAGGCGGTTAACTTTTTAATTTACGCCGTGTTTGACTTGGTCCACGAATTGAATTTGAACTGGACTCTAGATTTCCGTACGTCGTAGAATTCGGTTTGGCAACAAAAATAACTCGCCTTGAGAATCAGAGTTTCTGATCGGGCATCCCTGAACCAAACATTCCTCAAACGGCCTCCAAAACGGAGTGGCGCTTAAGTCGTTTGTAGGCTAACATAGGTTAAACCAAATTTCAACGGCAGGGACTAAGGCAATGTAACGCTCAAATCGGAGTTTTTGATAAAAAGCGAGTGTTACAAGTCTTAAGGAAAAAATACAAACCGGTCGATTCAATCACTTTTGGATATTGTGCAAAGCACCAAAGCAATGGTTGAATTATTGAAGTGAGCTACAATCTTTTTTCATTTCCCGATCAGTTTAATCATATCTGGAGTTCGTGTGCAGTACAGTCAACATCGTCTAATGATGAAAGTTTCATTGCTCTTCTATTATTCGATCCTTCATCGCGTATCATGCAATGTACTTGAGATTTTGATATTTTTCATTAATCTAACATCGATCCGAATTTCTCGAAAATTATGTCTCCTGAAAGCGATCAAGTAAGGTTTTAATTTTAAATTAAATTTATCAAAAATGAGAATGTAATTACCTTATATCTGTGATTTGCAAATTTTAAACTTATCAATTTTCCAATAATTCAAACATATAACAAGAATTTTTATATGAAACGCTAAGTGTCATTCTTTTTTAATCTGAAAAAGCACTAGAAATTGTACATTGATTGATAAGCGTTTAAGTAGAATAATTGTATACCTTTTACGTTGTTTGATCCTTTTATTCTGCTACTATTGTATCACTTTCACTTTCAGTAATTCACTTTCAGTAATTAATTTTCACTATCACTTTAAACTTTAACAGATTCATATTTCGTTTACTTGCAACCTTCCTTTTTGAAGTCTATGAATAGACACTGAAGAAGTTTGCATTAGTAAACGAAATACGCGTCTGTTAAAGTTTAAAGTGATAGTGAAAGTAAATTAGTGGAAGTGAAAGTGATACAATAGTAGTAAAATCAAATGCAACAACGTAAAAGGTATACTAGAAAATGCATTAATCGATTGTTCAACAGATATTCTCTTTCGGTTGGCAACTTGTTTTGTTTCACTATAAAGTTAAAAAAAATCACTAACGTTGCAATCAAACCAATAGAAATGTGATAAGAGCTATGAATTAATTAATTAATCTTACATGTTTGCCTCTCATCAAACGTTTCACACCTAAGTACAACCAAAACTCGATCCAAGTTGTCCGTAATGCCATGACAGGTCAAGCTTAAGAGTGAAACATTCGCACTGGGGTCTAGCCATATGTCGGTCGTGAATGACTTAAGGTTTATTCCATCAATAATCACATGAATTTTCTCTGCTAGTTTTCCGTATAATGAATTACACACATAATCCGTGGAATACTCTTCCACTTAAATTATATTGGGGGGCTACGTGCTGCATCAATCTTCGGAATCCGAGTCAAGGGGTATTCAACTCTGCACACCTTAATCTGTGCCAAGCGTTGTGCCGATCGTTCCGAAGTAGGCCGAAGTGTATCAATCAAGTTGTCAATATCCAATGAGTTTGGCAGCCATGAAATTAGACTTTTGTGATTGTGTTTGCATTTTAAATTTCTCTAATTCATGGATCATGGCAAACATTAAGCTTCATTCTCATTAGAACGAGAGCGGAGTGGGTGATGGAAGAGGAACTGGAAGCAATCCAACCTATACCACCCATTCACAAGAAACGTGTGCAGAAACGAAGGTGTAGCCTGATCACTGTTCGCTGATCCACCAGCTACCAGTAAAATAATCCCCGATAAAATCAAACCCAGAACTCGAACGGGTGAAAGTTCAATCCCACCCTAGAAACAACATCCTCGAAACAGTTCATCTGATCGACTCAGAAGTGCGTGTCCTCGAAGTGATGTCAAGCCTATCGTATCTCTGATTATGATGTCTCCTACCACCACCCAATTACACACGTTTAAGCCTACCAAGTACACGGTCCTTTGAAGTTGTAATTCCTTTCCCAATATACCACCAATCAAATCCAATGGCCAATGTACCATCAGTGAAAACCATTAAATGATCCTCACTTCATATCTGTCATACATCGGAAATGGTGCGCGATACAGATATGCTTTGCATCTGCAGTTCAACTACAGGTAGCATCCTTTGCTTGTTGTTGTTCATCTGGCTGAACAGCAAATTATTTAGTGTCGCTAAGGCAATCGTACATCGGTCCAGATCTTATGAAATATAAGGGTTAATACGCACTGGGACTTGTACGGATATCGCTATAAAGTCTCGTGGATTTTCCATCGATGTACATACCAATTGAAACCAATGAGTGGCTAGAATATCTGAGGAAAAACGCAGGGGAAAGCCAAAAAAATGTTCATTCCGGAACACCCTTGGCAAGACCGGGATTCAAACCTGGCATAAATACAAAACCCATCACGCACAACCCCTATGATGTGTTTTTTTTTTTCTTTATCGTTCGTTCTGCATAACAAACTTGTAAAACAAAACAAAAATCCTCCGTAGCTGGCATATTATTGTCGTCGTTCAGAGGATTTATGTCCATTCAGTTCGCCAATCGTATTCCGCACCGTACCGTCGTATTGGACGATCTTACAGGCATTTACAGGGGTCGTTTTTATTCCATTTCTGAGATCTACATTGATTCATTTATTATAGGTGTCTGCTTAGATAGATATAGACACATTGGATCACCACCGAACCATCGAGCTGGCGGATCGCTTGGATCTCTCACGACGAAGCTCATAACCACCACAAAGCGTTTTTGATTAGATTTTGTCACCTTTCGTTCGCCAGAAAATCTGTCAGAATTGAGCATAGGTCTGACCTTATTATCCTTTTCATCTCTCCCACCAGGTTTCATCGTGGTAGCTTCCTGCGTAATGACATTCGAAGCTCGTGACTCGGCTGCCAAAGTGGTTCCGGCCCGCTTCAAGCTGAGTGGCAACACCCGGAACGCCAGCCGCAGCAACGCATCCCGCAGGTCCACGAGTAAGTATTTCGCTCCATTCCACATTTTCGTTATCCGTGGGGGGGAAATCGGAAAATTGTGTAACTTTTGATCCTATGGCTCTTTTATTTACTGAAATCCATCGCAGAGTATTTCGTCGGTGTTTCCCGAGGGAAGCTATTTCCTCGAAGGAAATCCCCTCAAAAAGGACGCTTTCTTCTACCTGACAAGCTATAACGAACTTTCCCCAATATTGTGGAAATTTTTTTCCTGGAAAAACTGATCCACGACTGGGGTGTACGATTTGGTTTTGTTTGTTGTTGCAGCGTTTCAAGACTTGGTCCAAGTGATTCTTCTGTCGAAATAATCTAAAAATTCAAAGCGCACAAAACGTAGCTGTTGGTGGTTGTTTCCGACGTTGCAAAAAATCTCATGTTAAAGTTAAGTCCAAGTTCAAGATCGTGGAGAATGCTTTCGCAAATTGCTTGCACGTGTGTGTGTGTGTCGAAGTAGCATCAGCCACAAATGATACGAAAGCATGGGTGATGCCATCGAGTAATAAAATGAGATGAAACGTTCGTTGTGTCGTCCTGTGCAAGCCACCAAATGCCAGTGAGAGTTCCAAGAGCAAACATGTTCAATGTTTTATTCATGCTGGGGCGGAGTGATGTAATAAGCATCGCTAAGATTAGGAAAGGCATTATTTCGATGGCGGAACACAGTGAAATATAGAATGAGGAAAAGAAAAATTCTTGAAGGCAAATGATGAGTCTGGGATTAATCTGCATCACGAAATGTTGAATATGTGGTAACATCCACATTTCTTTAACTTATTTTGACCAACCGAAAGTATTATGGTGAAAATTGTAGATTTTGAACCGTATTAGCCTCCAGTGCTAAAAACAATTTCTCAATTTCAGTGAACCTAGCAAAATGGGCAACTAATGACTGTTGACTTTATAAAACTAACATTTTTCATGATTTTACGTTGTATCTGCATTGTTTATTCTAGATATTATGATCCAAACCCAATAATTTTTTTTTTCCATTGATTTGTTTTCCGTCGATCTTGTTTTTCTTACTGAGTACCAAAGCTTCCAAAAGACAAGGAAAGAAGCTCGTACAGCTGAACCCTACCTATTGAGCCATCAACTTTTACTTCGCTTCTGAAGAAAGGCGTGATTAGAGATTTAATGCCTCAAAAAATTCTTGGCGGCGCCGACTGGGATTGAACCAGGCCTTTTGAGGTGAGCGGCAATCACGCTTAGCACAACAAAACCGGTGCCACTGTCTAACTTGTTAAACCCATAACTTTTTCATGAACATTCAAAGTAAGTTGTTACAAAAAACGCATTAACAAAACACCAAACTAATTATTTTCTATGATTCTGCCTTTATTGTTTCCTACGAAAACAAGCGAATATATTTTTTTTAATTTTTTACCTCAACATACACATATGCGGAAGCATTTAGACTAAAACCTTTATCCTTTAAACTTGCCTGATCTCTAAATTACAACAAAATATGTGCAGCTGTGTGTCGAAAAGCGTCCAGTCATATCGAATTTTGTCCTACGTGGTGTTACCACTTTGCCTATTCATTTTAAATTGAGTGAAAACTGCTACAGTATAGCTTAACGTTACAAGATAGGGAAGATTCATGATCAATACTACTTAATTGTTAGATTTCTAAAACTGTAAGCATGTAAAATGATGGAAAATCGTATTTAAACTTTTTTTTTGACAATTTAACCTATTTTTTGTTTACTTATTTATGTCTTCAACCAGCATAGACCATCAAATGCGTATACTGTTTTTTCATAAATATAAAAAAAAATCTTTGGAGCAAAATGTAATATGTTAATTTTTGTCTTAAATAAAAACTAAGCACTGTCTGCTTTCTTATTTTTCATTTTTATGAATTATTATTCCTCATGGAGTTAAAATATTGTTTTAGTTCATGCCGAGACATCGTAAATGTCATGCGTCATATGTTGCATGATTTGTGCGATGATGGCTTATGGCAAATAAATTTTGATTTCCTTTGATTTTTGCCGAGTAGGTGCATAGAAATTTAGTTTTGATGAAAGTTATGTTGAGTCAATGCGTTGCAAAACGAAATATATCAAACACATTTAAACTGTTTGTAAATCATATTGATCACCACACTTTCAAGAAAATCACGTTTTAAGGTGTTTATTTGTAGAATCCATTTGAGTAGCATAACGTTTCCTAATATAGTTAAAAATGGTCGCAGAAATTCAGACAACAGATGTTTATAACATTGCATGGAGCATTTATCAGATTTTAAAATAATACTGAGATAATACCAATTGAGTTCTAATAACCAAAAATTAGACTTTTTCAAGACCATTTGGCATTTAAGTTCTGACCATTTTGACAAATTTAAAGACTTTGACTTACTTCATGCGTGAAGTTATCGATTAGTTGGAGATGCTTAACGTCAATCTCAGACTTAAAGTGAAAATTTTATAGGATAGATGAGGAAATGAAAGCATAGAATTAATAGTTCCGTTATACTGAATTACCTTTACCAAACTGCTTACGTCAGATGGTGACTTGAGTGTGTAACAATCGTTTCCGCACATCGGAGCCGGAGGTACATGAGCAATTCGGTGATCAATCACCCCTCATCAGCTCGATCCGATTCGTACCTTCCTCAAAAATTGTCATTTGCTTTCTACTATCTATATACAATTCTCACACTGCCATACTATAACGCAACTATCAATTCTATACTTTCATCTCCGCAGCTATCGTATAAAATGTTCACTTTAAGTCAGAGATTGACGTTAAGCATCTAATATGATTTATGATGTAGCTAATGAACTAACGTATCGGAACAAACCTATTATTGATTTGTGCACAATGAAATCATAGATATTATCGATCTTTTCTGATCAATAGAACAGAAATGGGCTATTACGACGAAGTAGCGCTCTATCCTATTTTTATTTTTCATGCACTGTGTGCTGCACCGCTCGAGCAAGCTCCCTCGCTAGTTCTTTTATTGTGAATTAACCACTTCATTCGAGCAGTTAAAATGACGTTTACTACCACTTGAACTTTGAAATAAAAAATTATTTTGAGATTTTTTCTTCTAGAACCACGAGAAACGTAGCCAACATTAGTGTGTTTCATAAAAAAATAGAATTTAGTTGGTCCAGTTTTGTGAAATCGCTGGTAGAAAGTCACGCCAAAACTGCTTGACAAAGTGGTCAATTAACCACTTATTTCGAGCAGTTAAAATGACGTTTAATACCACTTGAACTTTGAAATAAAACATTATTTTGAGATTTTTTCTCCTAGAACCACGAGACAAGAAGCCAACATTTGTGCGTTTTATAAAAAAATAGAAATTAGTTGCTCCAGTTTTGACAAAGTGATCAATTCACAGAATTCTTAGCATGCATTGAAATTGCACAAAGAAGAAGAAGAAACAACCGCAGCTGTCAAATATTCCAAAAAATGTATCGACACAACCACATTTCCGCAATAGAAATATTGCGTAATAGACTACAAAAATCACAACCGGAAAATAAATATCATTAACCGAAAGCTCAATTGAAGCCGGACTCGAGGCCGGAATGAACTGGTTGATCTTTTCGACATGATTAACTGGATTATTAGTAGATTATCACCTGTAAACGTACGATCTACGAAACAACTGTGAAGAGGGGTGCCACCATGGATTGAAGTAGAATAGAGGTCCTTAGGTTGGTCGGAGGATCATGTACGTTTGCGCTGGCAGTCAGTTTTCAGTAACTTTTAAAATAAAATAGCTTTAGTTTTTTATACTTTATCTTGCGAACTTCCATCTAACTTGTTTTGTTTAGTAATGTTTTATGCGTTGTTATGCAAACAAGGTCTTCAAGGAAAGAGTTTGGTTCAGTGCTTGAAATTCCAAAAGCCCATCCGTTCCCATCGACACACTCGTCTAGTAAACGGATCAGACGATAATTCACTTGGGTATGGATACTCGGTTTGCTAGATTTTGTTATGTTGTAGAATATCACCGTGTTCTTTCACAGAATTTTTTACATAAATTGGTACCAGACCGGTACGGCATGGTCCTTGAAATCAGATCAGCCAGTTTCAGTTGTTGAAAACGGATTTCATCGTAAATCATTCCTAATCTTATTTGGCACCTCACTAGCTGCCTTCAATGGTGGCAGGAAGAGATACCCCTCGTCATCTCTCTTCAACAGGGGAGTTTGGTAAAGGAGATGATTAACCCTTCCGTGCCTTCCTCAAAATTTCGTGCCTTCCTCAAAATTAACCTTTGCTCGATTTCTACTTTCTATATACAATTTTTACACTGCCGTACTCTAACGAAGCTATCAGCTCTACACTTTCATCTCCTTATCTATCGTATAAAATGAACACTTTAAGTATGATATTTGTGATGCTTCTTCAACATCGTATATTTTTATTTTTTGTTACACACTTCGGAGACATTATTTTTCATTTAATTTAGTTGTGAGTCCATCTTTTCGTCCAACTTTCTTGTCCGAAAAGAACTGAGTCACAACCACTATAATTGTTACTGTTATGTTCCATTTATACCGCATTCATCATGTTTATCAACTTTATCAAATCCAAAATAAAAAAAAAGCTTTGAAAGTATAAATTTGGACTGTAATGTATATGAGGAGCAAGTGGTAATCAACTCTGCCCACCATGCCGAAACACATCGTGGTACACTGATCGGCGCTTCATGGCACACAAAGACAAGTATGACACCAAATATAATATAAAACGGCATCACTGTTTTGTGTTGACATTTTGCCTATCGTTGCTAAGGTTTACTACTTTGTTTACGCTACAGAAAGTCCACATGGCTTTTGAGAGATGCCCATAGTTTCCAAAGAATTTTTGATTTTGGAGATGTTCAAACGAATTAGTCAGAGTCACAACACCACGTAAAATAGGCCAGAATATGTGTTACCCCCAGATGGCAATTGCATCCAGACCGACAGCTAATTATGTAGGTAAGGAGAATTGTAGAATGCAGTTCCGAT